TTTTATGTTCAAGAGAGCAAGGGGCTGAAAGTTTCATGAATTTTGAACTGCAATTGAGTACACAGTATGAAAAATATGAAAAAAGCTGAATTATTGTCAGAAAGTCCTGTTTTTCATGAACGTTTTAATGTTTGAACGGAGCTTCTATGTGAATGTATGAATGTGTGGGAAGAGGTTGAAGATGAGTGCGTCTGAAGGATTTTCTAATGGACTTCCATTGTAATTTTATGTAAAAAAAGTTAAATATTTTGAGTTTTACTGGATTTGAAAAGTGGAATGAGAGCTAAAATGTCTGAAAGATGTGGAATATTTGAGAGTTTAAATGTAATTTCTAGCTGAAAGTATGAATGAGTAGTTAAGAGTTGAAAGAAGAAGCAATAATGTTCTAATTGAGCTGAACGTTTTGACGTTTGAATGAAGTTTCTACGTTGAAACATTCAGAAGAAGGTGCCAAAAAATTTGGTGGAAAAATCTGAAATCTAAAATACCAGTTCCCCCAGTAACCAGCAACCAGTGAGACCAGTTAGAGAGTTTCACAGTCATTGATTGTGAAAACTAAAAACCATGTATTAATATTATTAGACATGATTATTGCAGAAACTCAAACAGGTTTTATGAAAAATCGACACCGAGGCTTTTATTTTGTTCTTAGACTTTTATAAGGCCTTTGATACAATTGAGCACAACTTTCTTTTTCAGTCCCTCAAAGTATTCGGTTTTGGGAATAACTTTGTTGATATTGTCAGTATGTTTTATAAAGACATTAACAGCTCTGTGATAATCAATTTGAACACATCTAAAAGATTTCAAATTAACAGAGGTGTCTGACAAGGCTGCCCTATATCTCCCTTTTTATTTCTTTTAGTCACTGAGTTATTGTCAATCAATATAGTAAATGTAACACCCCTTCAAACAATAATAGGTGGCAATACTACTCTAGATAATGGACCAGTAGGTTCGACTGCTGGAGCACAGTGAAATGCTTAAATCAAGCTCAGAGGCAAGAGGTTGAACTTAGGAACATGCCGGCTTTTTGTATTAAAGTAAAAAATAATAAAAATACATACAAAATTACGAACAATGGCACCACTCACACTGATAACACTGGTTGTGTTAAATCACAAAAAAAAAAAAAGAATATCACATTTGCAATTGCTCAGTTTCACATTAATTATCAAAATCTTAATTCTAAACTGAATTTAAGATTACTTTTGTACAATTCAAGTTTCTCTATCTAAATCAAATTCAATCATATAACATGGCCAAAAGAACAATCAATTTTGCATCCAACCAATACTCTTCAGGAAAATATCCTGCCACTCAGTTCTCAGTTCCACACGATGAAGTCAAGAAGTCAAAAGTCATAAGGGGGAATGTGTGTGTGTGTGTGTGTGTGTGTGTGTGTGTGTGTGTGTGTGTGTGTGTGTGTTGAGGGGGCTGAATGTGAGAGTGTTGTGCAGCAGTCGGCCCACCACCCACAAGGTGTGGCAGAATTAGGATACGTTCAAGTACCCACTGGTAGTATCTGGTGATACTGTCTCCCTTTCACTTTTGATCCAGGTGGGAAGGCTCGCCATCAACGTCGCTGGAAGATCCAGATCCAGAGAACAAACAACCAAAGAAACCTGACCTGTCCATAACACAGAAAATATTAAAATCACAGTGTAAGCTTTACACTTTAACTGCATATAAAATTCAATAAACTAAATTTGCAACAGCGCAGTATAATAGTCAATATGAATAATCCATAATGTAAAATAACTTCCCTTTTTGTAAATAAAATAGCTTCTCACAGCTCACAGTAAGCAAATAGGTGCATAAAATTAGCCCAATGAAGGTACAAATGACAAATTAAACAATGAGAAATTTGAAGGTATCTCAATTTTTGGCAGAGAATTAAAAATCTCCCAACTGGCAGATGACACTACACTTTTTTTAAAAGACAAGAATCAACTCTCTAATGCTATTACTCTAATTATCCAAACGCCTCAGGTCTAAGACTTAATATGTCCAAATGTGAAATTTTGTCTTTGCGTAATTCCAATGATTCTACAATTGAAAATATCCCAGTAAAGACTTCTGTTGAATATTTAGGAATATTCATAACTAAAGATCTTACAGCTAGGCAACATTTAAATTTCTCATTCTCACTAAAAAAGACCAAATCTATTTTAACATTTGGCTTCAAAGGGACTTGTCTGTCCTAGGTAGAGTTCTTCTCTCTAAAGCAGAAAGCTTGTCTCGCTTCGTATATCCAGCATTGTCCCTATCTGTAAGTGAACCAACTACCACACAGGTCAATACATTTTTTTAGATTTCATCTGGAAAAATAAATCTCATAAACTCAAGAAATGTGTACTTTCCATCAGTAAGGCAGAAGGAGGTCTTGAAGTCCTAGATTTTATCGACACTGTCAATACCTTTAAGGTTAACTGGTTGAGAAAGTGTCTCAGAAACCCTGACTCTATCTGGTTTTTCATCCCAAACTACATCTTTAATAAAATTGGAGGTCTTTCCTTTCTTTTGAATTGTAATTTTTTACCTAATAGATTACCAATCAAACTATCAAAATTTCATCAACAAACCCTCCTAGCATGGAAGCTGGCTTTTGTCCACAATTTCTCCCCCCACAAGGCTTTCCTCTGGAATAATATCAATATTCTTATAAGAAACAAATCCTTATTCTTGCTAAAATGGTTTGAAAGAGGTATCATCCATATCCTCGATCTTTTTGATAATGCTGGTAATATGTTGTCTTATGAACGTTGTATGTCTGTACACAGTTTTCCTGTTCCCTCCAGAGAATTTATATCTGTAACTCGTGCTATCCCAATAGAGTTAATTCAACTTATAAAAAGCCACTTGAGTTACAGTGAATATAAACCAAGTCAACCTGTACTGATGCTGAGTGGAATTGAACTAACAGATAGAAAGTGTAATAATAAACATATTCGCCAGTGTTTTCAAAGAATGAATAGAGTTGTGCCTAGAGGCAAGTTTTACTGGAGGTCCCAAATAGAGGACATCAACTGGAGAAGAGCTTCTACCCCACAAATATTGCATATCTAACAAGGCTAAAGAAGTACATTTTAAAATACTGCATAATATATACCCAGTTAGTAGTATTATTGCTAAGTTTATAGATGTTGATGATTCCTGTACTTTTTGTAATCTTAATACAGAAACAATTTCACATCTGTTTTTTTATTGTGATATATCTAAAAAGTTTTGGAGTGATGTTGAATCTCATTTTTTTGATGCTGCTAACTCTGTCTACTCTCTTACCCTTAAAGATGTTATTTGCTACTATGTTAACCCAGAAGATAATGCTCTTGAACACCTGATGAACTTTGTTATCCTATATGCACAATTCTTTATTCACAAACAAAAATTTGCAAAATCACTATTTACCTAAATTTGCTCCTTTTCTCCCGTGGGATTTCACTTGTTGCAGGGAAACGCAGAAGAAGAAATTGTTGCAGGAAGTGTGCAAATCGGAGAGTAGTGTGTGAAGACATGGACATTTTGAGGGGAAATAAACTTTTTTTCGTCGCAAAGGCATTATCTCCGTGATGGATTATTCTGGGCTTTCGGTGAAGCGAGCGGTGGAAAAACAGGTAGGCGACAGTACTGTTTGTACGGTTTCTGCACAACGTATGAGTTGAAAAGGAATGTTGTTGTCACGTAAGGGCCCTGATCATGTTGCACAGACATTTTAACTGCATTTTGTGTCTGTTAAGAGGAGCAAAAGGCACTCTTTAGGATATGCCCCCAAAAAGTGTATTATAACTAACTGGGAGCTCTGGCCATTAGCTGCAGCATCTCCAGTTTGCTAGAACCAATTCTGTTCGTCCTTTTTCCTATCGACAGTACTCGGTGACCTATAGTGATCAAGACGAGGGTAAAAATCTGCCGAAGTTCCCCTTTAAATAACAAAAAAAGTAATACCTTGCTGAGTCATTATTAAAAGTTTTTCCCTGAAGCCCCTGTTTGAACTATTTATTTTTGATTTATTTATTCATTTTAATTATTATTATTATTTTTTTAAATTTGTACTTTAATTTGTGTATCTTTGATTTATTATTTATGTCACTCACCAATGTGCTGATTGTCATTGTATACCTTGTAGTTTTGGACATTTAATTTATTCAATTAAAAAAAAAAAAAAAAAAAAAAAAAAATATATATATATATATATATATATATATATATATATATATATATTAATTAGTATTAATATAATTATTAATAATAGTAGTAGTAGTAGTAGTATTGGTATTATTATTTTTAGTAGTAGTAGAAGTATTGGTATTATTATTATTATTATTGATATGTAATTCTTGGTGTTGTTGATTGTTTTATTTTATTTTATTCTCGTATTTTAACTGTGTTTTGTTTGGTTACTTATGTTTATACTTTGTTGTTTCTTTGTTTTTATCTTATTTATTTTGTCACAGCACTTTGTAACCTTGTTTAGATCATTTCTATATATATAAAGAATAGTAAAAGTACTGATTCAACTTCTTTTACACAAGTAAAAGAAAATAAAGTACAGGCTCTGAAATGTTCTCATAGTAATAACAGGAAAAAGTTCTCTCTTAGTTTCTCTGGAGGAAATTTAGCAACAGTTTGAGTTAAAACCTCAAATAGGATCTGTCAGTTGTCTGTTTCGTCTTGTTACGTTGTTTGGTTACATCTGTCATGTGTGATTTGCAGCAGTCTTGATGTTGGGAAGGCGTGCAATGATGCCAAATAATAATAATAATAATCGTGTTCCATCAAAGAAATAGAAAACATTTAATCTCCTAAAACATTGAGACGAGGGAGACTTTCAGTTTATTATTAATCTTTAGCTGCAACCACTATATTAGAGACATGAAACATTTACACAGAGACAATGAAGTAAAAATCTACATTAAATTAAATTAATATTATCTGACACTACCAACGGTCTCAGATGTGACCAAAAACTAAATAAATGAATCAGACACAATAAAAAGTTTTGTTTTTGTTTTTATTTTATTTTAAAGCAATTTACTTTTGTCTCATTTATAAAAAGGCTCTTCAGTAATTTATGTCAGTATGTAGTATAAAGTATTCTTATATAAACAATGATCAGACAATATAAAGGTTTGAATTTGTCACTCAGACATTTAAAGAATGTGTAAATGCTTCTTATTCCTGAGTACATTGTTTTCTGATGATTTTACAGTTTTGAAGGCAGATAATGCAGTTGTTAGAATAAAGCAGGCTACAATATGATATCAGTGAGCGCAGTAAAATAGTTCAGTCAGGACCACTTTCGTCAAAATATCTTATATTCCAAGCAGAATTTTACATTTGGCGGTATTGCTCTGTTCTGGGACCTCCTTGTCCTTCTGCATGCCTACGTGGAAAACCTTAAGGCAGGGAGAGCACACCTCCCTGCCCTTCCATGTGCATACATGGAAAAGTTTAAGACAAGGAGAGCGGCAGCAGAGACCCCCCAGGGTACAGAACAGAGCAGCATCAATGGCAATCAGAAAATGACATTGATTAATTAGAAACAACATAAAAAGGAGGAGCTGGGGTGGAGGTGGGTGCTTGTAGAGGAGCAGCAGAGATAGGCAGGCAGGCTAAAGCAGCTTAAATAAGGCGCCATGCATGATGTTTGCCAATTGGATGCTTGAGGAAATCAGGTGAGCTGTCAGCTGACTGTGTATGGTATCCAATGGGAAGCTTAGAGGATCAGCTGATGTATGTTTATGACTAGCTGTGATGTATGATATAGCTGTAACTGAAAGCTAATCCTGACTTCGTGCCCTGCCTGAACTAACGCTATGCTCAATGTGTGTGGTTGTAATAAGTAGCAATGTGACATTTATATAATAAAAGGAAAAAAGTATACACCGTCCATCACCAATAAATATACATTTATTCCATTAAATGATGTGAATCTTTCTGTAGAAAATCAAATGGTTGTTCTACTCAGTGTGATTGACAGGAGAGATGATCAGAGGGGCAGAGTTTGTACCACCATAATTAATACTGGGACTAAAGTATGGGTAGAGTTTCTCAGTGAAGGAGCAGCCAGTAAAGGAGTAGATAAGAGCTGCAGCATCAACGTCATAAAAGGAGACCAGACCCTCCTCATAATCCACAAACACCCCCACCTTCTCAGGCTCAGACTGCAGAGAGAGACGGACTGCAGCAGCTTGGTACTCATTTTTATTCCTCAACAGTATCGTCCAGTAACCATACTGAGGGCTCAGTGAGATTATTCTCTTCCTGTTGATCGACTCTCTGGCCACTCCTAAATCCCATTCAGTCTTCCCTTTAACCTGAACCTCGTAATAAAATCTTCCTGAAGAGAAACTCTGCTTTGCTAAGACACAAGCAACAGTATCAAATCTCTGTGGATTGTCTGGGAGATTCTTCCATACATCACCACAGTAAACTTGTTTTCCATCATCAGACAGGATGAGGTAGGGATTTGCTGTATCAGGATCGAGTGTCACATCCACTGCATACTGCTGGACCCTCTTCAGCTCGACCTCAGCGAGCAGCTTCTTCATCTGTTTACTGAGCGTCTTCTCCAGCTGATTCACAGCTCTCCTCACAGTCCCCTCATATGAAGGTGGACGGACGCTGGCTTCTGTCCAGTCCTTGGTGGGTGGAGCAGCGTTCAGAGACAGGAAGCTTTGGAGGAGGTGGAGGTGGTCTTCAGACTGTGAGAGCTGGTCCACCTCAGAGCTTCTCTTCTTCAGCTCAGAGATTTCCTGTTCCAGCTCTTTGATGAAGTCTTCAGCCTGTTTCTCTGTCTTTCTCTGCTTCTCTTTGATCGTGTCGATGAGCTCGGCCTGTCTTCTCTCAACAGACTCCTTCAGAGCAGTGAAGACCTGAACACCATCTGCTATCTCTCTGTCTGCACCTTCCTTGCTGAGCTCCACTGAGCGTTTGATCTCCTGAATCTTCAGTCGTCTCTTCTGGATCATCTGCTGAATTTCAGCCTCTCTCTTCCCCAGCTCGGTCTTCTTTCCTTCATATTCTTCTTTCAGAGGAACAACATCATGTGTCTTGTGGTCTAAAACAGTGCAGAGCATGCAGACACACATCTGGTCGGTCTTACAAAACAGCTCCATCAGTTTATCGTGCTTCGTACACATCCTGTCTTCCAGGTTCTCCACAGGGTCGATCAGCTGATGTCTTTTCAGGCCTGACGTTGTCAGATGAGGCTCCAGGTGAGTCTCACAGTAGGAGGCCAGACACACCAGGCAGGACTTCAGGGCCTTCAGTTTGGTTCCAGTGCAGACGTCACAGGGAACTTCTCCTGGTTTGGAAACTTGTTGCTCTGAGCTGCTGCTGCTGGCTTTCTGTTGAGCTGACTGTCTGAACTGAGCAGCCATCTCAGAGATAAAAGTATTGACCTTCAGCTGAGGTCTTGTGTTGAAAACCTCTTTACAGTTGGGACACTGACACTGGACATTAATATTCCAGTGTTCAGTGATGCAGGTTTTACAGAAGTTGTGTCCACATGGTATGGTGACTGGATCAGTGAACACATCCAGACAGATGGAGCACAGAAACTGATCTTCAGTCAGCAGGCAGCTGGCAGCAGACATATCTACACTGTGAGGATGAAAATAAAACAAACTTCAAAGTTCTCTCTGTAACTGTAATCCATTACAGTTACTAAATAAATCACCAGGTTACTGTTACATTGCGTAAAGATAGTAATTGTTTAGCAGGATTACAATTTTAAAATACATCAGTTTTTCTTTAAAAACACACTGAGCAGGATGTCATGAATCCCCGGCCGTGATGACCGTTCGGGTGTTTTGTGTTGTCTTGTGGTGTTTGTGTCACTCTGGCAGTGCTCGGGGCGTGTCTATCTCTGGCTGCTCACACACCTGGCTGAGGTCATCACCACACCTGCTCCTCATCAATCTTCAGCAGTACTTAAGGAGCAGCCACACATCCAGTCAACACCAGATTGTTGTGAAGTATTGAGTATCCTACTGCTTTCCAGCCAGTTATTTATCGTTGCTACCGTTAGTTGCCTGTCTGCTTCTGCCTGCCTGAGCCAATCTCTTGTCGTCTGTTTTTGTCCGTAACTAACCGTGTCTCTCTGCCTCAGCAATCATTCCTGGAACTCAGCCCTGGAACCCAGTCCACTCAGCCCAAGCCTCCTGTAAGCCAGCCACTGGATCCCCACACTCCAAGCCTGCCAGCCAGCCACTGTCTGGATCACCCCCATCTCTGGACTCCCACTCTCGCCTGCCAGCTCCCCCTTTTGTCACTAATTTGGTCTAATAAACTGTTTACACTCTACCTCTTGTCCGATCTACTTCTGGGTTCCCCCTCAGAATCCTGACACAGGAGACGCAACTGATCTCGGTTCTGATTGATATTTCTTTTACTTTTATTTACATATTTAATTACATTTTGCAAGTAACTCTGCCCTTCAGGAAAAATAATTGCATTGTGAAGACTGAAGATGAGAGAAAAACATGTGAAGGTTTAAGGATACTTACCAAAGTGTGTAACAGTTATATAAGTTGTAATAGTACAATGTTATACCTTTATAAGCAATACAACAAACTCTCAGATGAAATCAGACGCTGTACTCTGTCCTTTACACAACCCAAAGGGAAGCTAAGCTAGGCTAGTTAGCTTTCAGCAGGACTAGTTTCTGTGGTGTGTTTTCATTGTTTGGTTGGATTTAGCTCCTTCCTTCTATCTGTATGTGCTATAACAGACTGTAACAAGCTCTGTAGGGCAGTGGACTCACCAGAGGTTGGCAGAGATTCTGCTGTTTAGTTGAGAAAAACCTGATGGATTCAGTTGAATTTGTCTTCAGAGACAAACAGAGAGACTTGTCTCCACTGCAGCTCTGCTGTCTTCAGACAAACTTTCACTTTCATTTCCAGGAAATGTGTCACTGAAGCTCTTTCAGTGTTGCTCCTCCTCTCAGTGCAGATCTGTGAGTGAGCTGTTATTGACTGATTGGGAAATATCTTTGGAACAAGATGGGTTTTTCCTACAATGTGAGTCTACAGCAGCCAAAGGATCATACAATAACAAACAGACAACATAAGAAAAGAGGTCAGTGTAAGATATTCAGGAACATACTGTATCTTTAGATCAATATTCTACAACGCTCCCTTTACAGTCCCTCTACAATCCCACAAACACTCCAATGTTCAGCTCACTGTTTACTCTGTAATTTCACTTTCTGCTGCTTTCCAAACTGTTTACCATCTTTTCTTTATGTGACAGATTTCTTACTGATCACATTACAGGAAAAAATACAGAAACACTGAGAGGGAAAACTTTTGTCACTGGGCCACAAGTAGGCTTCTCTGTGATTCTGAGGTTTCAAAAGTAATAAAGTAAAATATTTCTTTCAAAGAACTCTTAAGTGAAATTACAAGTTATATTTTACTGTGCATAGTGAAGCATCTCATACTGGACACAGAGTCAGAGCTGAGCTGGGTTTATTTTGGGTCTGTGTATGTATTGGTCATTGGATTGTCCTTTCAGAAACGGGTATTAAAAAACAGAAAACGAGTGGTTATTTGATTTTCCTTTTAAAATACAAAAAATAAAAATCGAAATACAAGGCGTTTTCTGTTTCTGTTTTCTAGTGATTTTATTTTTTGTTATATGAAATAGAAAATGAAAATCGAATAATATTTTAAAATTTCGCTCATCCCTTTCTGACCATGAAAAAGAAAAACGCTTTGTATTTCTATTTTAATTTTTGTGTTTTAAAACAAAAACCACATAACCACTCGTTTTCTGTTTTTTAATACCCGTTTCTGAAAGGAAAATCCAATGACCAAAACATACACGGACCCACTAGCAGAAATTATACAGTCAAGACTTCCACATTTTGGGAATTCCCAGGGGTCAGCACTGCAGGATGAGCAACAAATGCATCTCATGCTGAGTGAACCACCTTCTTGATAGTGGCATCCCACCTGCCAGGTAAGTAGGAGTTGAATGTATCAGAGACTAGGGTGTCATTCCCAGACACAGCCCCCTGGCGGACGGTGCCTACCATGAATAATCCAAAGTTTCGTGGACTTTAAGTATTAGCCCGCCTCCATCACTCGGCAAGCTGGTTGTTTCTGTCTCGGTGGAATCCGGCACAGCCAAGCAGCCATACAAAAGCCTCCAACCCAAACCTGCTAGCAGTGGAAGAATATCTAGAGCACATTTCTTACAGAGAGGAAATGACAAATTCAGAGAGGAGGACATGCAATTCATTCTGTCCCATCTGAAAGGCCACGTCCACTTGTTGCTGCCTTCACGGCCTAAACCGGACCCTGCTGCACAGCAACACTGTCACTTTCTGGACAAACAGGACCTCCATGAACCAAACACACACACCATCCAAAACCAGATGTCCCAGAACCTCCAAACTGTGTTCAACCTTTAACAAATAGACTCAAAGAATCAATAATAACATATCTGCTGTCAACTGAAGAGTCCCAGGATGAAAAACATTGATACTGAAGAAGGGTTTAATACAGAAAGACATACAGGATGACAAGATAAACAGATAGATAGAGCTCAGAGGTGTTTCAGTTGTACACCGAATTCATCTTCCCATCGCTAAACTTCCGATTTAAAAGTGTTTCATTAATCTGCAGTCAGACTCTAATATACAGCATACTGTCAATGTTCAGACTACAACAGCACCCTCCTCCCATACACTGCTCATAGGCTGACACCTGCTGGTGACTTTATGGAACTGCAGCTGACAGTTGGAGTGAAAATAAAGGCAGAAAATAGGAAGAAAGTAGGTACAGGACTCACAGTACAACAGCCAGACCTCTTATTCCTGTTGTTATCAGCGGTCTGAGAGCCGTTTAGAGCCGCCTAGAGCTGCTTTAATCCTCTAAAGTGAGTCTGAGAGGCACCATGAGTCAGGACTCTCTCTGGACTGACCCCCTAGAAATACCCTGCAGAGACAGGGAGCTGATGTGTTACTCGGTAGCACATATACTAAAATTGGAACGATACAGAGAAGATTAGCATGCAAGGATGACATGCAAATTTGTGAACCGTTCCTCATTCCTTTATTTATTTTTTGGTTATGTTGTATTTGTCCTCTGACTTGATGATTTAGACCTTTAATAACTGTGATCGACACCCCATTTTTAAAGTTAGAACAGACTGACACCCATATTAGAAGATACGGTCTTCTTTCTAAATTGTAATATTGACTCACAACCCATTAACGCTGCTATCAAACTTATGTGTCTTGTTGGCAAACATCATATCCATACGGCTGGAATGCTTCAAACCTAATGTTCATCTGTATTTTGTTGAATTATAATTTCTCTTTGACTCTGTTTCTAAATGATCAACAAACAAGAAAGCCATAGGACCTCTCAAATATTTGGATAATTCCTATGTAAAAGAAAACAATAACTTCTATACATACATACTGTATATGTAAGTTTACAGTTCCCTCGTACAATGTGATGTCATTCAGAAACCTTTTATTTTATGTGTAACAGGTGTGTGGGCATAAACAGAGGTCGACTCACAGAACTGTTAACCAGCATTTATTTGCTCCTGCAGAAGACAATATAGCACTTTCATTTCCTTCTGGTCTTTTTTCCTGCCCCTCTGCTCCCTCAGCAATGCAAAACAACACTGTTGAAAATACATATAGATGAATTAATTTAAACATTACAGCAATGTGCATGTTACAAAAACAAAAAAAATACTAAAAGAGCTGTTACAGTTTACCAGAAAACATTTTATTTTTATAACAAATCTCTCTCAAAACCATTCAAAACTATATAGAATAGGTGAAACAGAGTAAAAAGTGTGTGTGGGGTAGGTGACTAAACAGAACAACACGAATGAAGGAACTACGGAAGTTCGGGAGCTACGGAAGGACAAAGTTCAGAAAACTAAATTTCCACTGAAAATGAACCAAAATAACAGTGAATGAAAAATAACTTAATGAGATCAAATTCACACTCAATGGAATGAATAAATAAATAAAATTCACAAATACATATTGAAAGTAAGAATTAATAAAGTGCATTTTTAACTCTGATACACCAGCACAAATGTTCCCTATGTTTTTATGTTCAAGAGAGCAAGGGGCTGAAAGTTTCATGAATTTTGAACTGCAATTGAGTACACAGTATGAAAAATATGAAAAAAGCTGAATTATTGTCAGAAAGTCCTGTTTTTCATGAACGTTTTAATGTTTGAACGGAGCTTCTATGTGAATGTATGAATTTGTGGGAAGAGGTTGAAGATGAGTGCGTCTGAAGGATTTTCTAATGGACTTCCATTGTAATTTTATGTAAAAAAAAGTTAAATATTTTGAGTTTTACTGGATTTGAAAAGTGGAATGAGAGCTAAAATGTCTGAAAGATGTGGAATATTTGAGAGTTTAAATGTAATTTCTAGCTGAAAGTATGAATGAGTAGTTAAGAGTTGAAAGAAGAAGCAATAATGTTCTAATTGAGCTGAACGTTTTGACGTTTGAATGAAGTTTCTACGTTGAAACATTCAGAAGAAGGTGCCAAAAAATTTGGTGGAAAAATCTGAAATTTAAAATACCAGTTCCCCCAGTAACCAGCAACCAGTGAGACCAGTTAGAGAGTTTCACAGTCATTGATTGTGAAAACTAAAAACCATGTATTAATATTATTAGACATGATTATTGCAGAAACTCAAACAGGTTTTATGAAAAATCGACACCGAGGCTTTTATTTTGTTCTTAGACTTTTATAAGGCCTTTGATACAATTGAGCACAACTTTCTTTTTCAGTCCCTCAAAGTATTCAGTTTTGGGAATAACTTTGTTGATATTGTCAGTATGTTTTATAAAGACATTAACAGCAATGTGATAATCAATTTGAATACATCTAAAAGATTTCAAATTAACAGAGGTGTCTGACAAGGCTGCCCTATATCTCCCTTTTTATTTCTTTTAGTCACTGAGTTATTGTCAATCAATATAGTAAATGTAACACCCCTTCAAACAATAATAGGTGGCAATACTACTCTAGATAATGGACCAGTAGGTTCGACTGCTGGAGCACAGTGAAATTCTTAAATCAAGCTCAGAGGCAAGAGGTTGAACTTAGGAACATGCCGGCTTTTTGTATTAAAGTAAAAAAGAATAAAAATACATACAAAATTACGAACAATGGCACCACTCACACTGATAACACTGGTTGTGTTAAATCACAAAAAAAAAAAAAGAATATCACATTTGCAATTGCTCAGTTTCACATTAATTATCAAAATCTTAATTCTAAACTGAATTTAAGATTACTTTTGTACAATTCAAGTTTCTCTATCTAAATCAAATTCAATTATATAACATGGCCAAAAGAACAATCAATTTTGCATCCAACCAATACTCTTCAGGAAAATACCCTGCCACTCAGTTCTCAGTTCCACACGATGAAGTCAAGAAGTCAAAAGTCATAAGGGGGAATGTGTGTGTGTGTGTGTGTGTGTGTGTGTGTGTGTGTGTGTGTGTGTTGAGGGGGGCTGAATGTGAGAGTGTTGTGCAGCAGTCGGCCCACCACCCACAAGGTGTGGCAGAATTAGGATACGTTCAAGTACCCACTGGTAGTATCTGGTGATACTGTCTCCCTTTCACTTTTGATCCAGGTGGGAAGGCTCGCCATCAACGTCGCTGGAAGATCCAGATCCAGAGAACAAACAACCAAAGAAACCTGACCTGTCCATAACACAGAAAATATTAAAATCACAGTGTAAGCTTTACACTTTAACTGCATATAAAATTCAATAAACTAAATTTGCAACGGCGCAGTATAATAGTCAATATGAATAATCCATAATGTAAAATAACTTCCCTTTTTGTAAATAAAATAGCTTCTCACAGCTCACAGTAAGCAAATAGGTGCATAAAATTAGCCCAATGAAGGTACAAATGACAAATTAATACAGAATTTACATTAAAACTAATTTGGAAAGAAATATGAATTTGTCACCGATCTCACGCACTGACACAAAATGGCGGCGCTCAGAAACAGCCACACAGTTTCTAAAACCCAAAAAATATAACAAGGGCACAAATACTTAATATAAAACTCATGAATAATTCAGCTCTCGCCATAAATGAATTATAATAAATGAAAAGATCTTTTAGTTTTAGTAATTTACCTCTACAGACAAAGCTAACGGCTATTAGCTCGAGCTACTAGCGCTGCGGCTAGCGACTGTGCTAATGCCCATTTTAACTCTAGTTTTTTCACTAAAACACTAAAACAACAAACGGACTTCCGTAAACAAGTGTAAACCATATGTTTTTGTGTTTTCTTCAGTTTTTGCTTCCGCTCGCTCTCGCTCCTCTCTTCATACAGACCGGAAGTAACGGAGGAATACAGAGCGTATGGAGAGAATTCTGTTCCTTTATTATTCAATCAAATAGAAGAGATTGAAACCAAAAAAGAGATTTGAAACCAAAAAAGAGATTGAAACCAAAAAAGAAATTGAAACCAAAAAAGAGATTTGAAACCAAAAAGAGATTTGAGAGCAAAAAAGAGATTTGAAACCAAAAAAGAGATTTGAAACCAAAAAAGAGATTTGAAACCAAAAAAGAGATTGAAACCAAAAAAGAGATTTGAAACCAAAAAAGAGATTTGAGAGCAAAAAAGAGATTTGAGACCAAAAAAGAGATTTGAGAGCAAAAAAGAGTAAAAAAAAAAAAAATGTTTTGAGATGGAAACAGAACAGGTTGCAATTGGAAAAAAAAATATGAGAGAACATATTTCTTCAACTTCAATCAAAACTAATGTTTGTAAGTAAAAACATACGACCATTTTGCGTCCTCTTTGCTTGAGAGTTATAAAGTTTTGTTTGCGAATTCAGCTGCACTTGATGGGCGGGGCCTACGCTGGTGGACGAGAGAAGAGTTTCTATTGGTTGGTTTGACCTGGCTACGTCTTCCACCCACTTCTCCCTGTGCTGTGCTGCTTGGAGAAGCCTGTTGCTCTTGAAACGTTTCCCATAAGTAATGAATTGCGCTATATATCGTTGGCTACAGCCTGCCGTACATTCACAACAACAACAACAACAACAACAACACAAGTAATGAATTATAAGGCTGGGCTAGTCACGGCCTGAGCAGAGTAGCCTAATGAGTGAGTGAATTACAGGGAGGCGTATTCAACGTAGGGCTGTGATTGAAACCTTTAGTGTTGCATGGTACCCGGCTCCCGTTCTCTACAGCTGTTCTAATGTCAACAAACACACGTGGCGAATAATTTAACAAATTCACGCACATATTTCTAACCAGCCAGCCTTTTGTCCACAATTTCTCCCCCCACAAGGCTTTCCTCTGGAATAATAGCAATATTCTTATAAGAAACAAATCCTTATTCTTGCTACAATGGTTTGAAAGAGGTATCATCCATATCCTCGATCTTTTTGATAATGCTGGTAATATGTTGTCTTATGAACGTTTTATGTCTGTACACAGTTTTCCTGTTCCCTCCAGAGAATTTATATCTGTAACTCGTGCTATCCCAACAGAGTTAATTCAACTTATAAAAAGCCACTTGAGTTACAGTGAATATAAACCAAGTCAACCTGTACTGATGCTGAGTGGAATTGAACTAACAGATAGAAAGTGTAATAATAAACATATTCGCCAGTGTTTTCAAAGAATGAATAGAGTTGTGCCTAGAGGCAAGTTTTACTGGAGGTCCCAAATAGAGGACATCAACTGGAGAAGAGCTTCTACCCCACAAATATTGCATATCTAACAAGGCTAAAGAAGTACATTTTAAAATACTGCATAATATATACCCAGTTAGTAGTATTATTGCTAAGTTTATAGATGTTGATGATTCCTGTACTTTTTGTAATCTTAATACAGAAACAATTTCACATCTGTTTTTTTATTGTGATATATCTAAAAAGTTTTGGAGTGATGTTGAATCTAATTTTTTTGATGCTGCTAACTCTGTCTACTCTCTTACCCTTAAAGATGTTATTTGCTACTATGTTAACCCAGAAGATAATGCTCTTGAACACCTGATGAACTTTGTTATCCTATATGCACAATTCTTTATTCACAAACAAAAATTTGCAAAATCACTATTTACCTAAATTTGCTCCTTTTCTCCTGGAACTGAGCTCTTTGCAAAAAAAAAAATTAATTTTTAAAAAAATATTTTTTTTATTTTAATTTTTTTTTTTTAAAATATTTTTTTTTTTTTTTTTTTTTTTTTTTTTTTGGGGGGGGGGGGGGGGAAAAAGGTTTTAGTTTTTCCAAAAATGAGTTAAATGCTTGTTTCTAAGACATTTCTTTGTTAAATAAAAGTTATTATAAAACGGAGCTAATACCTTGCTGAGTCATTATGAAAAGTTTTTCCCTGAAGTCCCTGTTTGAACTATTTATTTTTTATTTATTTATTCATTTTAATTATTATTATTATTTTTTTAAATTTGTACTCTATCTTTGATTTGTTTATTATTTATATCACCAATGTGCTGATTGTCATTGTATACCTTGTAGTTTTGTACATTTAATTTGTTCAATTAAAAAATATATATATTATATTAATTAGTAGTATTATTATTATTAATATTAGTAGTAGTAGTAGTAGTAGTAGTATTGGATTATTATTATTATTATTGATATGTAATTCTTGGTGTTGTTGATTGTTTTATTTTATTTTATTCTCGTATTGTAACTGTGTTTTGTTTGGTTACTTATGTTTATACTTTGTTCTTTCTTTGTTTTTATCTTATTTATTTTGTCACAGCACTTTGTAACCTTGTTTAGATAATTTCTATATATAAAAGAATAGTAAAAGTACTGATTCAACTTCTTTTACGAAAAAAAAAAAGAAAATAAAGTACAGGCTCTGAAATGTTCTCATAGTAATAACAGGAAAAAGTTCTCTCTTAGTTTCTCTGGAGGAAATTTAGCAACAGTTTGAGTTAAAACCTCAAATAGGATCTGTCAGTTGTCTGTTTCGTCTTGTTACGTTGTTTTGTTACATCTGTCGTGTGTGATTTGCAGCAGTCTTGATGTTGGGAAGGCGTGCAATGATGCCAAATAATAATAATAATAATAATCGTGTTCCATCAAATTAATAGAAAACATTTAATCTCCTAAAACATTGGGACGAGGGAGACTTTCAGTTTATTATTAATCTTTAGCTGCAACCACTATATTAGAGACATGAAACATTTACACAGAGACAATGAAGTAAAAATCTACATTAAAATAAATTAATATTATCTGACACTACCAACGGTCTCAGATGTGACCAAAAACTAAATAAATGAATCAGACACAATAAAAAGTTTTGTTTTTGTTTTTATTTTATTTTAAAGCAATTTACTTTTGTCTCATTTATAAAAAGGCTCTTCAGTAATTTATGTCAGTATGTAGTATAAAGTATTCTTATATAAACAATGATCAGACAATATAAAGGTTTGAATTTGTCACTCAGACATTTAAAGAATGTGTAAATGCTTCTTATTCCTGAGTACATTGTTTTCTGATGATTTTACAGTTTTGAAGGCAGATAATGCAGTTATTAGAATAAAGCAGGCTACAATATGATATCAATGGGGGGGGGGTTTGGGGGGGGGGGGGGGGGGGTTAAGTGAAAAAAAACATTTACATGATAAAAGGAAAAATATATATATTCCGTACATCACCAATAAATATACATTTATTCATTAAATGATGTGAATCTTTCTGAAGAAAATCAAATGGTTGTTCTACTCAGTGTGATTGACAGGAGAGATGATCAGAGGGGCAGAGTTTTTACCACCATAATTAAGACTGGGACTAAAGTATGGGTAGAGTTTCTCAGTGAAGGAGCAGCCAGTAAAGGAGTAGATAAGAGCTGCAGCATCAACATCATAAAAGGAGACCAGACCCTCCTCATAATCCACAAACACCCCCACCTTCTCAGGCTGAGACTGCAGAGAGAGACGGACTGGAGGGCCAGCAGCAGCTTTGTACTCATTTTTATTCCTCAACAATATCGTCCAGTAACCATTCTGAGGGCTCAGTGTGATTATTCCCTTCCTGTTGATCGACTCTCTGGCCACTCCTAAATCCCACTCAGTCTTCCCTTTAACCTGAACCTCGTAATAAAATCTTCCTGAAGTGAAACTCTGCTTTGCTAAGACATTAGCAAAAGTATCAAATCTCTGTGGATTGTCTGGGAGATTCTTCTTTACATCACCACAGTAAACTTGTTTTCCATCATCAGACAGGATGAGTTTGGGATGTGCTGTATCAGGATCCAGTGTCACATCCACTGCATACTGCTGGACCCTCTTCAGCTCGACCTCAATCAGCTTCTTCATCTGTTTACTGAGCGTCTCCTCCAGCTGATTCACAGCTCTCCTCACAGTCCCCTCATATGAAGGTGGACGGACGCTGACTTCTGTCCAGTCCTTGGTGGGTGGAGCAGCGTTCAGGGACAGGAAGCTTTGGAGGAGGTGGAGGTGGTCTTCAGACTGTGAGAGCTGGTCCACCTCAGAGCTTCTCTTCTTCAGCTCAGAGATTTCCTGTTCCAGCTCTTTGATGAAGTCTTCAGCCTGTTTCTCTGTCTTTCTCTGCTTCTCTTTGATCGTGTCGATGAGCTCGGCCTGGCTTCTCTCAACAGACTCCTTCAGAGCAGTGAAGACCTGAACACCATCTGCTATCTCTCTGTCTGCACCTTCCTTACTGAGCTCCACTGAGTGTTTGATCTCCTGAATCTTCAGTCGTCTCTTCTGGATCATCTGCTGAATTTCAGCCTCTGTCTTCCCCAGCTCGGCCTTCTTTCCTTCATATTCTTCTTTCAGAGGAACAACATCATGTGTCTTGTGGTCTAAAACAGTGCAGAGCATGCAGACACACATCTGGTCGGTCTTACAGAACAGCTCCAGCAGTTTATCGTGCTTCGTACACATCCTGCCTTCCAGGTTCTCCACAGGGTCGATCAGCTGATGTCTTTTCAGGCCTGACGTTGTCAGATGAGGCTCCAGGTGAGTCTCACAGTAGGAGGCCAGACACACCAGGCAGGACTTCAGGGCCTTCAGTTTGGTTCCAGTGCAGACGTCACAGGGAACTTCTCCTGGTTTGGAAACTTGTTGCTCTGAGCTGCTGCTGCTGGCTTTCTGTTGAGCTGACTGTCTGAACTGAGCAGCCATCTCAGAGATGAAAGTATTGACCTTCAGCTCAGGTCTTGTGTTGAAAACCTCTTTACAGTTGGGACACTGACACTGGACATTAATATTCCAGTGTTCAGTGATGCAGGTTTTACAGAAGTTGTGTCCACATGGTATGGTGACTGGATCAGTGAACACATCCAGACAGATGGAGCACAGAAACTGATCTTCAGTCAGCAGACAGCTGGCAGCAGACATATCTACACTGTGAGGATGAAAATAAAACAAACTTCAAAGTTCTCTCTGTAACTGTAATCCATTACAGTTACTAAATAAATCACTAAGTTACTGTTACATTGAGTAAAGATAGATAATTGTTTAGCAGGATTACAATTTTAAAATACATCAGTTTTTCTTTAAAAACACACTGAGCAGGATGTCATGAATCCCCGGCCGTGATGACCGTTCGGGTGTTTTGTGTTGTCTTGTGGTGTTTGTGTCACTCTGGCAGTGCTCGGGGGCGTGTCTATCTCTGGCTGCTCACACACCTGGCTGAGGTCATCACCACACCTGCTCCTCATCAATCTTCAGCAGTACTTAAGGAGCAGCCACACATCCAGTCAACACCAGATTGTTGTGAAGTATTGAGTATCCTACTGCTTTCCAGCCAGTTATTTATCGTTGGTACCGTTAGTTGCCTGTCTGCTTCTGCCTGCCTGAGCCAATCTCTTGTCGTCTGTTTTTGTCCGTAACTAACCGTGTCTCTCTGCCTCAGCAATCATTCCTGGAACTCAGCCCTGGAACCCAGTCCACTCAGCCCAAGCCTCCTGTAAGCCAGCCACTGGATCCTCACACTCCAAGCCTGCCAGCCAGCCACTGTCTGGATCACCCCCATCTCTGGACTCCCACTCTCGCCTGCCAGCTCCCCCTTTTGTCACTAATTTGGTCTAATAAACTGTTTACACTCTACCTCTTGTCCGATCTGCTTCTGGGTTCCCCCTCAGAATCCTGACACAGGAGACGCAACTGATCTCGGTTCTGATTGATATTTCTTTTACTTTTATTTACATATTTAATGTTGAGGTAATCCAAAACTAATGGGAGGTAATAAAGTTGTCTTACTTTAATATGGTGAAACTTGGATTAGGTTAGTGACTACATTTTATAACAGGTAATTAGTAATTGTATCTGATTACCAAAGTGTGTAACAGTTATATAAGTTGTAAAAGTACAATGTTATACCTTTATAAGCAATACAACAAACTCTCAGATGAAATCAGACGCTGTACTCTGTCCTTTACACAACCCAAAGGGAAGCTAAGCTAGGCTAGTTAGCTTTTAGCAGGACTAGTTTCTGTGGTGTGTTTTCATTGTTTGGTTGGATTTAGCTCCTTCCTTCTATCTGTATGTGCTATAACAGACTGTAACAAGCTCTGTAGGGCAGTGGACTCACCAGAGGTTGGCAGAGATTCTGCTGTTTAGTTGAGAAAAACCTGATGGATTCAGTTGAATTTGTCTTCAGAGACAAACAGAGAGACTTGTCTCCACTGCAGCTCTGCTGTCTTCAGACAAACTTTCACTTTCATTTCCAGGAAATGTGTCACTGAAGCTCTTTCAGTGTTGCTCCTCCTCTCAGTGCAGATCTGTGAGTGAGCTGTTATTGACTGATTGGGAAATATCTTATATACCTTTGGAACAAGATGGGTTTTTCCCCCTACAATGTGAGTCTACAGCAGCCAAAGGATCATACAATAACAAACAGACAACATAAGAAAAGAGGTCAGTGTAAGATATTCAGGAACATACTGTATCTTTAGATCAATATTCTACAACGCTCCCTTTACAGTCCCTCTACAATCCCACAAACACTCCAATGTTCAGCTCACTGTTTACTCTGTAATTTCACTTTCTGCTGCTTTCCAAACTGTTTACCATCTTTTCTTTATGTGACAGATTTCTTACTGATCACATTACAGGAAAAACTACAGAAACACTGAGAGGGAAAACTTTTGTCACTGGGCCACAAGTAGGCTTCTCTGTGATTCTGAGGTTTCAAAAGTAGTAAAGTAAAATATTTCTTTCAATTAATTCTTAAGTGAAATTACAATTGTTCATTTTATAAAAATCTCCTCACTCAGAGAGAGTAGTAGGCCTTAATTATTTTATACTGCTGGAAAACCAACAGTGTGTCTAAGAAAACAGGATTTATAATGATCACTTTTATTTCCATGCATGATTTCTTTGTTAGTTTTACTGTTCATATTGTAGCATCTCATACTGGACACAGAGTCAGAGCTGAGTTGGGAAGTTTTTTATTTTTTTCTCCAACATAACAATGAAAGGAAAACACCAACACAGTCCACCACCAGCATATATTATACAGCCAAGAGGTTTGGGCAATTCACTGTGCATTTAAAAGTGTTGTATTAATCTGCAGTCAGACTCTAATATACAGCATACTGTCAATGTTCAGACTACAACAGCACCCTCCTCCCATACACTGCTCATAGGCTGACACCTGCTGGTGACTTTATGGAACTGCAGCTGACAGTTGGAGTGAAAATAAAGGCAGAAAATAGGAAGAAAGTAGGTACAGGACTCACAGTACAACAGCCAGACCTCTTATTCCTGTTGTTATCAGCGGTCTGAGAGCCGTTTAGAGCCGCCTAGAGCTGCTTTAATCCTCTAAAGTGAGTCTGAGAGACACCATGAGTCAGGACTCTCTCCAGACTGACCCCCTAGAAATACCCTGCAGAGACAGGGAGCTGATGTGTTACTCGGTAGCACATATACTAAAATTGGAACGATACAGAGAAGATTAGCATGCAAGGATGACATGCAAATTGGTAAACCGTTCTTCATTCCTTTATTTATTTTTTGGTTATGTTGTATTTGTCCTCTGACTTGATGATTTAGACCTTTAATAACTGTGATCGACACCCCATTTTTAAAGTTAGAACAGACTGACACCCATATTAGAAGATATGGTCTTCTTTCTAAATTGTAATATTGACTCACAACCCATTAACGCTGCTATCAAACTTATGTGTCTTGTTGGCAAACATCATATCCAAACGGCTGGAATGCTTCAAACCTAATGTTCATCTGTATTTTGTTGAATTATAATTTCTCTTTGACTCTGTTTCTAAATGATCAACAAACAAGAAAGCCATAGGACCTCTCAAATATTTGGATAATTCCTATGTAAAAGAAAACAATAACTTCTATACATACATACTGTATATGTAAGTTTACAGTTCCCTCGTACAATGTGATGTCATTCAGAAACCTTTTATTTTATGTGTAACAGGTGTGTGGGCATAAACAGAGGTCGACTCACAGAACTGTTAACCAGCATTTATTTGCTCCTGCAGAAGACAATATAGCACTTTCATTTCCTTCTGGTCTTTTTTCCTGCCCCTCTGCTCCCTCAGCAATGCAAAACAACACTGTGATTCTCCTGAAAATACATATAGATGAATTAATTTAAACATTACAGCAATGTGCATGTTACAAAAACAAAAAAAAATACTAAAAGAGCTGTTACAGTTTACCAGAAAACATTTTATTTTTAAAACAAATCTCTCTCAAAACCATTAAAAACTATATAGAATAGGTGAAACAGAGTAAAAAGTGTGTGTGGGGTAGGTGACTAAACAGAACAACACGAATGAAGGAACTACGGAAGTTCGGGAGCTACGGAAGGACAAAGTTCAGAAAACTAAATTTCCACTGAAAATGAACCAAAATAACAGTGAATGAAAAATAACTCAATGAGATCAAATTCACACTCAATGGAATGAATAAATAAATAAAATTCACAAATACATATTGAAAGTAAGAATTAATAAAGTGCATTTTTAACTCTGATACACCAGCACAAATGTTCCCTATGTTTTTATGTTCAAGAGAGCAAGGGGCTGAAAGTTTCATGAATTTTGAACTGCAATTGAGTACACAGTATGAAAAATATGAAAAAAGCTGAATTATTGTCAGAAAGTCCTGTTTTTCATGAACGTTTTAATGTTTGAACGGAGCTTCTATGTGAATGTATGAATTTGTGGGAAGAGGTTGAAGATGAGTGCGTCTGAAGGATTTTCTAATGGACTTCCATTGTAATTTTATGTAAAAAAAAGTTAAATATTTTGAGTTTTACTGGATTTGAAAAGTGGAATGAGAGCTAAAATGTCTGAAAGATGTGGAATATTTGAGAGTTTAAATGTAATTTCTAGCTGAAAGTATGAATGAGTAGTTAAGAGTTGAAAGAAGAAGCAATAATGTTCTAATTGAGCTGAACGTTTTGACGTTTGAATGAAGTTTCTACGTTGAAACATTCAGAAGAAGGTGCCAAAAAATTTGGTGGAAAAATCTGAAATCTAAAATACCAGTTCCCCCAGTAACCAGCAACCAGTGAGACCAGTTAGAGAGTTTCACAGTCATTGATTGTGAAAACTAAAAACCATGTATTAATATTATTAGACATGATTATTGCAGAAACTCAAACAGGTTTTATGAAAAATCGACACCGAGGCTTTTATTTTGTTCTTAGACTTTTATAAGGCCTTTGATACAATTGAGCACAACTTTCTTTTTCAGTCCCTCAAAGTATTCGGTTTTGGGAATAACTTTGTTGATATTGTCAGTATGTTTTATAAAGACATTAACAGCTCTGTGATAATCAATTTGAACACATCTAAAAGATTTCAAATTAACAGAGGTGTCTGACAAGGCTGCCCTATATCTCCCTTTTTATTTCTTTTAGTCACTGAGTTATTGTCAATCAATATAGTAAATGTAACACCCCTTCAAACAATAATAGGTGGCAATACTACTCTAGATAATGGACCAGTAGGTTCGACTGCTGGAGCACAGTGAAA